AATGGGTTGTTTTTTGATAAAACATTAAATTTGGTATTTTTTTTATATCACACTTTTCCGATTTTCAAAGTGTTATCTGGAGCAATGTTTTTTTTTTAATTGGTATCAAACAAACAGCTGATTTTTGAAACACCGCTTTTTCTGATGTGGCACCTACATGACACCATTTTCTCAAAAAACGGCACCATCAATACCAAACACGGCCTGAATCAAATGAAGTGTAATAATCTTCCAATTCGCCAATAGTCAATGAAAATGCAAGAGTGAAGACGTAAATGAATGCATGCAATGATTGACACACCGATGCAAATTTAAATTTGTTTAATTTTGAAAACTGAAATGAAAAGTCAGTTTTAAATGGAAAGTTACAAATGGTTTAAATTTAAAATGGAGTGCTTATAAAATGATATGTGGGTAACGTACACTAGCATCGATGCCTTTACCAGTCCAAGACAAAGGCTAACTCCTAATACTACAATAGTTTCTTGTCATTATACCATGTGGGATTCAAGTAAAAGACATTGGAAGTTAAAGGTGCTTTGATTAGTGGAGAGAAATTTGATATTTTAGCTAAGTTTTATAAGTCATGGTTGGGAAGACTTATGCTACAGTTTTTTTAGATGGACCTAGGGGTGAGTAAACGGTTTATTCGATTAAAAATTGAATCAAATATTTCGGTTAAAACCGAATTTTAATATTATATTTTAATATATATTATAGTGTATATTTTAATATATAATATATTTTTAATATATATTATACTATGTATATAATAAACTATATATTTTAATACATAATATAATATATTTTAAACATATTATATATGTATTATTTATTAATATATATATTATAGATAATAAAGTTTGGTTAATTCAGTTTTTTCGGTTAACCAAATTTTTAAACCTGAAAACCGAAATTTTACAAAACCTAAATAACCAAAAATCGAAAAAATCAAACCCAAAATTTTCAATTCAGTTTTTCAGTTTTAACCGAATAATGCTCACCCCTAGATAGACCCATACAAACAACCTATTATAAGCCATGTTTTGGTGAAAAATCCAAAGAGATTAAATTGACGATAAATCAGGATTTGAAGGGTTGTTCAAATCAAACTCTTTGAGTAGATTATCCGAAGTGGTTGATCCAAAGCAGTTGAACCAGCATAGTTGAAAGCCTGTTTGGGAGGACTTTTGCATTGATTGAGCTGCATTGATAGAGCCATTTTTTTGGCTTATGTAACCTATTTTGGACTTTCTAGATTTTTTTTAACATTATTTAATGACTTTTTGGGTTTCTAAGCTCATAAATGCCAAAATAAAATCTATTGCATTAAAGCCCTCCCAATGGGAACTGAATCTTCAGCTTAGCTCCCCAAATTGGGCCCTTAATTGAGGGCGCTTTGTATATAAAACCATGGTTTTCAAAACCGGGCCAGATGGTTAACCATTCGCCTGACCGGTTTCGTTTTTCCTCAAAACTGTTAATTTTGGTCAACAAACTGCTAAACCGACCATTTAACCATTCGAACCGTTCGAACGGTTTTGAGTGTTTTTCAAAATTTTTAATTTTTTTTTATTTTTTTTGTCAGAATGGGCCAACCGTTTGGGTCAAACGATTGAATTATTCGAACTGATAACCAGACCCCTGACTGATTCGGTCACCGATCAGTTTTAAAAACCATGTATAAAACAGCATGAACACCTTGGTCAATAAAATTTGCGTTGTGGGGTGAAAGCATCCAAAATAATTGGGGCTCACTTCATAGTTGAAAAACAATTGGAACCACCACCCATCAAGTTACAAAAAAATGGAAGTGTTGAGCCTCTGAATGCATTTGGGTTTCAAAATAGAATGGATTTAAATTTTGGTTTTGTTTGATTAATCAGTAGGAGAAAGAAAAATCTATGCTGCTGGAACGGTATGATATCGAAAGGGATTTAACCAATTAAAACACCCCTTGCGTACATGCACAAATTTGATAACAAGTTTTTTCGGCATCATAATCAAACCCTTAAAATAATTCAAAATTCCACATCAATTTGTGGACTTTTATTTTTCCTTCCATTTCTTTAAATTGCACACAAATGAGTGGAGGCTCCTACAATAGACAAACCCGACGCCGTGTCCAAATCCAAATCCAAAAATAAATGTTGTATTTGGTTTGGTAGTAAATAAAAGAGGAAAAACTGTTAAAGGAATTTTGCATAGAGCCAACCGGCAGCCACCCCTACATGGCTACATCCCGGCCATAGAACATTTAACAAATTCCTGACCACACCGGGCTTGAAAATCTAATCAATTCTAACACAACATGTGATTATAGCCTATGCATCCGACAAAATCCTTGCCTACCAAAAGCTGATGAGAAATAAAGAGAAGAAAATGGATGTCTAGATGGGGCCTTGGTCCTCCTGAGTCCTGAGCATCACATATGGGATATAGTTATAGGTGTAAAGTGGGCCGTACCGCCCTCCTTAGTGAAAAATTTGGGGTCGGTCCGGTGTGGCTCATAGTTCAGGTTGGGCCGTGCATCGGACTGATGTCATGCCGTGCTGTGCCGTGAGATGGGTTGGTCCATGGATCGAGCCTTGGGCCAGGTTTGGCCGTGCATCGGGCCAAAGCTATTTATTTAAAAAAAAATTATCAAAAAATTTAAAATTTTAATTTTATATGAATTGTGTAGATACAATTACTTATATATACAATAATTAAATAAATTAGTATAATAAAATTAAAAAGTTAGTTGTTTTATTAATATATTATATATTATATATTATTGTATAATTATAATTTATATAATATTATATAAAATATGTATAAACAATATATATGGGTCGTGTCAGGCCGTATTGGGTGATCGGCCTGCGGGCTCGATTGTGTCGTGTTGTACCAGCCCGTGGATCTAAAATCCCAGGCCTAGCATGGCCTACATGATTGTGTCGTACTTGACATGACCTGCGAGCCGTCATGCTGGAGCGGTCCAAGTTTGTGCTAGGCTACGGGCGGCGGCCTGATTTACACCTCTAGATATTATGAATAAAATGAACGTCATGGAAGTTGGAAGACGCTTCCAACAAAGGTGCTATCCATTCATGGAACAGGAACCCCTCTTTCGTGACATGAAAAGGGATGGTGTTGTCATAGTTAAGTTTTCGTAGCAATATCATCATCATCATACACTAACCCTATTTATCCATTTAATGACATATCTGTTGTAAAATTGTTGGTGCCTAATTATTCATTCTCACCAAACAAAATGGATTTGTAAACTTAATTTCTTAGAAATAAAGGGCTAATTTTAAAATCCACATGTGGGATTCAATATTAATCTTTCTAATTCAATTTACTAGTTTAAATGAACGATAAATTATTGAAACCTCCCCTGGAATTTCTAATTATTACCGAAAACTTTTTCTGAAAGTTTGATAATTGCATTCACCCTTCCTTAAAACTTTTTGACACAGATATAAGTAGACCTTCTCTTAGTCTCTTTTAGAATCCTCTAACAAGAGGTACAAAATGTCCAAAATAGCCATGCAATTACTATTGAGGCTGGTTTTTATAGAAAAAAAAATAATACAAATTCTATAAACAATAAAAATTTGAGAATTTAAAATTACAGTTTTACATTTGAGATTGATATGAAGGATAAATTTGGAAAACAAATCAATTTAAGAAAGAGATTTGATGGGTATTTTGAACAGTTTCATGCCTCCTTTTAGAGGATTCTGGCAAAAGGGTTTTACTTGCAATTATGCATATCAGAAAGTTCACTAAAGGTTTCAACAATTTACCCTTAATGTGGGTCCCATTATAAAGACTTTGGCGGTGTTTGGAACCATCGGCGTTTTTTCAATAAATGTTGCCACATAGGTGCTGATGAGGGCAGCTTTGGCCCTTCGTTGGCCTAACAACATGTGACACAATAGGACTGCCGCATGACACCACAGCGCTACACAGACAACTTTGAATCTCACTAAGTCAACGAGGCGTACACAGATGAGCATTAGGCCCATCGTGATGATATGTATGCATAGAGAATTATAAAAGCAACTTTTGATTTATGTACACACTTACCATTAGATAAAGCTTTCATTTTAGCACTTCCCCCAAGGAATAATAGTTTATTTGTTTTAATAAATAATTTTGTTATTACTTTTCTCAATTTTATAAACAAATTAAATACAAACGTTTAATAAATAAATGCAAGATATATCAAACCCATACTTTATTGACACCAGTTGTAACTGGATTGAATCGGACCTTCACCTGAATTGAAGGATGTAGGGATTAGGAGTTTGGATGCCCCTCGCAGCCTGGCCCTTTTGACGTTTGAGTCTCCAACTCCTTACAAAAGTTGTCCTCACACCCACCTCATAGTCCATGCAGCCGCACATACCGAATATCTGCATACTAATGATTTTTTATGAGGAAATATTTTCACTACACGGCTGCAAGACGGAGGTGAGTGTAGAGACCATTTTTGTGAGAAAATGCGATTTCCCGGTTGTCAAGTTCATGACTCCATGTCATTATCTATCAGAGTTCGATGTAGGGACCATTTTTGGAAATCAGATCTGCTTTTCACACCTGGCGCTTCAAAGACGCCTCACATATACATCCTATCATACTTTGACAATATCTCTCGTATTTATTAATTATTATTTACGAGAGATATTCTTAATGCACGGTGGATGTATCTGTAAGGCGCTCATTTGTGAGGAACAGATCCCGTCACCCATTTTTGTGAGAAAATGCGATTTCCCGGTTGTCATGTCCATGACTCCCATGTCACTGTCTGTCTGAATCCGGCTTCGGTCAGAGCAAAACAACCTTTACAAGAGGCTGTTGGAACAGTGCGAGCATGGGCTTCTCTCACTGAAGCCAAATTAGTTTTTGGACCGGGCTAGTTAAGACTTATAGTTAAATTATTATTACAAATTAAAAATTAATCTTTCTGGATAGGGTTTAGAGCTCTTTCGTTTTTTTACTCTTGACTTCACAGAAATCCTTTTTCTTTCTGGAAAAGATGAAAGAACCCTAAAAATTCCATGATGGCAAGTTGGCAACAGACAAATGAAGCCTCTCACAAAACACCATTTGTCCCCCTTCTCTCTTTTCCCTCGATATTCTGCATCAAAAGAGATAACAATCGTCCAATAATGTCGTCTTAGTTCAAAATTTCCTTCTTTTTGTTTTTTATTCTCCCCTCCCCCTCCCCCTCCCCAAATCTCCTCTTTCTCTTTTCGAATAATAAAGGAGTGGTTCACGATTCACATCCCTCTGTTGCCTTTATCTCCTTCTTTCCCTGCCTTCCCTCTATAAATAATCTCCTGTAAACCCATTTGATTCCTGCGTTTCTCATATTCTCTTTCTCCACCCATTATAAACCCCAGTTTCTTCTTTCCTCGCAGACAGAGTAATGGAGGTTGATATCTAAAGATGCGAGCTTTCTTTTGTTTTTTATGTAATCTATTCTTATCGAGACGTAATGACTAAAGAGAGTCGTCTATTCAAAACCCTAGGAGCATTAACTTTGTCGCCTATATTTAGTGGTATGGCGATTGCTTTTCCCCCTCATTTCATCTGTTCCGAGAAATCCACGATGGAGAAAGCCGTCATTGTTAAGTCTTCGTCTGCGGCGGCGGTTTCTCCTTCTCCTTCTGTTCCTCCGGTGATTTTGACTCAGGACGAGCTGAAAAAGATTGCTGCTTATAAAGCCATCGAGTATGTCGAGTCCGGAATGGTTTTGGGGCTGGGAACCGGTTCGACGGCGTGGTTTGCCGTGAACCGGATTGGTGAGCTTCTGCAACAGGGGAAACTCAAGAATATTATTGGGATACCCACCTCGAAGAAGACCGAAGAGCAGGCGATTTCGTTGGGGATTCCTCTCTCCGACCTCAATGAGCATCCGGTTCTTGATCTTGCGATTGATGGAGCCGATGAGGTCGACCCACATCTCAATCTCGTCAAAGGCCGAGGTGGGTCTTTGCTCAGGGAAAAGATGGTCGAGGGCGCTTGTCGGAAGTTCGTTGTTATTGTCGACGAGTCAAAGCTAGTTGATCATTTGGGAGGTAGCGGCCTAGCTGTTCCGGTCGAGATTGTACCTTTCTGCTGGAAATTTACGGCCGATCGTCTGCAGAGCTTGTTTGAGTATGCTAGTTGTGTTGCCAAGCTCAGGACTTGCGGCGAAAACGGCAAACCATTTGTTACGGACAATGCTAATTATATTGTGGATTTGTATTTCAAGAAGGATATCGGGGATTTGAAGGTTGCTAGCGATTCAATTCTGCGACTGGCCGGGGTTATCGAGCATGGAATGTTTCTTGACATGGCTACCACCGTTATTGTTGCTGGAAAGCTTGGAGTCACAGTGAAGAACAAGTAGAGAGGGCATGGAGGAGGGGAGAAGGTAGTTTACTGATCAAAAGAGATTACAACTTAGCTAACAAAAAAATGTTTTTTCAGAAAATTTTGATTTTGCCATTACTGTAATTGGGGGGTTGGGTGTTATTTTTCCCAGTATCAATTGAAATAAGTACCGGGGTGTCTGTCCATCCTCTGTATTTTGTTCAGGTCTTAGGACTTAAGTTGTTGGACATGCTGAGGATGGGAAGTCCTATTGAATGGTGGGAAGATGTGGCTTTCTATGTTTCAGCTGTCTTCTTTTCACCAGAAATTTTGTCTTGGGACTTACAGCATGTTCCTATTCTTTTTGCTGATTATATAATGGATCAATTTTGTATTCTGTTTGATCTGTTTTGTTATTAGCATGGATGTGTAACAGGAAACCATTTTTCTGCTCAAATTGAGTGACTTAGCATTTTCACCATATAAACAACTATCATATACTTGGAAGCTCTAGTTGATCAAACGCCTTTCTTTGGATTTCTTTTTCTTTTGGGTATTCTTTATGCAAAATTTATTTAATTTCCATAATTGGAGTTAAACAAACAAGATCAAATTGTTCTGAGGAATTATCAGTATTCATGTGCCTCCACTATAGCTTGAAGTATTCCTGTAAAAGGCCATGCTCTTCTCTTTCCTTGTCCAATGAGGCAGTAAGCTGCTTTTTAGTTCATTTTGTTTCTAGCCCATAGCATTGTTTATAAGTGTCATTTAGAGTATACCTCTTCTTTCTTTTACTTTTGAGTTTTGAAGAACAAGAAAAAAAGGTCTGTGTTATAGACTACTTAAGTGCTTGTGTAAGAATCCCCTAGAAGGTGGAAGCCTGAAGACACTGCTCCAGATAATGTGTTACTTGCAATGCAGTTGCAGCAATAGTTATTCCATGACTTATTTTTTGGTGAATTCTTTTCCGTTATCAGTCATTATAACAGTTGATCTTGGCCTCTCTTTCTATGGTACCCCAAACTGTAATTCTACTCTTTCTTTACTGACCAAGAAGTATTTCATTTCTCTCTTAATAATCTTCCTGTTGAAGTTTTATTGGTCCTCCTTGTTTAGAAGAACATTGTGGTATATCTTATTATGTTATTTTTGACACCTGAAAACAGGAGCTCTGATAATGTCTAACACCTGTTTCAGTGCATATATCTCATCCAAGGAAAGAACACAATGTAATAAGTAGAATGTACAGCATCTATGGGTCTATTGCTCTATCTTTACTTATATGTATTATTTAGTTGATCTAGTGTTGCACTTACCTTGCAAGGCATGGACTGGACAAGCTAGTTTGTAACTTCCTATGTTGTGTTAAATTGTGATTAAATGTTGCCTTGCTTTATGAGAGTTCATTCCAAATCCATGATTTTTTTTTGCGCAATCTACTTGATGATATTCCCATAAAGGATTAGTTTCCTCTGTTATTTCTGAAGCTTTGTAAGCATTACTCAATACATGGAAATAGTGGATTTTATTTTGCTTAAAACTACCAGATTGCTTCAAATTGCATATTATAAAAATGAAGAATAGTAGATTCAACATTTATGTTGTTACTCAAGCTGCAGAATTTTTATATTTGATTTAATTCTGAACCCAGTAGAAACATTCAAACACCAAATTACAAGTGGAAGTGCACTCCTTAAAAGATGATTTTTTATTGATAAGCTCTTTAATAGGTAAAATCTGTAGCGATCAATCTGGTTAATAACTTTCATTCTGTCTTGGCCTCTTGGAAACCGCATATTGGATTCTTCATCCCCTTGTTAAGAATCTCAGTCACTTTATTAAATCTAAGTAAAAAAAAATACTGAACTTACATTGCCAAATGCTGTATCTATGCTTGTCATGTATCTATATTTGATTACCCTGTGGTTTCTGACATTTAGACCACCTTCATTTCCTTTCTATTATCTTTGTATTTATGGTCTAAACACTAAACTTTAGTTTGCAAATACTGTCAATACCCTCTATATTATTGCCCACGTAATTTGGATAATTCCTCCATTCTCTTCTTATAAAGACAAAATCGTCTGTTTTGTTCACTGAGTCAGCCAGTCAGGGCCTATATGGGACCTAGGTTCTGGAGTTTCTGAAATCTTTGGAGGGGTCAGGAGTGGTCTCTTAATCCTGTTAGTGTTGGGCCTTTTTCTTGTGTTAGCCTGAAGTCTTGAGCATGGCTCAAAGTGTCGATATGCTTGAGCACTTTTAACTATCAGGCATCAACACTCTTAGATAACTTCAGTATTTATGGTCCCAGCACTTTAGACAACTTTAGTTTTAGTCGATGCCTAGACATGGCAAAAAGTTGACCCAATCCGCGAATCCGACTCAATTCAATCCGAACAAACAGGGTTAGGGTCTCATATTTAGCTACCCAAATGCGAAAATGACCCGATCCGACCCAATCCAAAAAACTGGGTTGGATTGAGTTGGGTCATGGGTCAACCCCCTGACCCGATTGTTAAGTCTAATTGGGATTATTTTTGCATTGTTAGAAGTTTTCACTCTTTAATTTTTTCTATTTAGTCTTTACTTGTTATTGTTTATTCTTTAAATTGTTAAATGTTCAAGTTTTTTTTTATATTTGGAATTTTAATATTAATTCTTTTAATTTTACATTTTTCATGTAAATTTTTTTTTTTTAAATTTCAATTATTTTTTGGGATGTCCCGAATTGACCCATGGGTCAACCTTAATCCGAACATTTAGGGTAAGGGCCTAGCATTTGACAACCCGACCCGAAATTCAACCCGAAGTACCTTGACCCAACCCGAACCCGACCCACCCAACCCAATTGCCAGGTCTATTGATGCCCATTAGACTACCATTATTACCCATCTGTTGTTATTGTTTAAAATTGACAATTGAATCAAATTCTTTTTATTTTGTGCACTGATGACCTCAAAAAACCGATGTGTATCATACAGTACTATGGTGTGATACGTGATACTTTGAACTTGATCTTGATGGGTGCAATGCACATTTGAATTTTCTTTGCTATGTAAGTTTTAATAAAAAATTCTGAAGGTATCTTATCATCTAATGGTTTTGCCCATCTTTTGCAATGAAAATCCTTGAACCCTTGGAAATCTTAGCCATTTAATCCATGCCCATCTTTAGTAGTGCTAAGTGACTAAATGACTAAACGACTAAATGACACTAAGTGACTAGGTGTGCAACTTGGGCGGGTTGGGTTGTGCTCTAGGCCAATCCTGGCCCAACCCCAAGATTATGACCTTGGGCTGGAGCTTGGCCCAACCCAACACAATTCAAGCTAAGTTTTGATTCAGCTGGCAAGTTTGACTGGGCTTGGATGGATTGGTCAGGTTTAGAAGCCATGTTTAACTTGGGCTGGAGCTTGGCCCGATACAACTCAAACTGGTTTTGGATTCGGACAGGTTTGACTGAGCTTGGATGGATTGATCAGGTTTAGAAGCCATCTCACTCATGTTTTGCATCATCACATTTCAGCTGGATTCTATTTGAGAGTAATGATCTGATGTAAGAATAAAACGGCAGAAAGTTATACACAATTGTCAATATGTAAACATGTGTACCCATTCTCGGATAGTTAATTTCAATGAAAAATTGTTTGGCGAAAAAGCTTAAAATGGGCTTTTTAAAGTGGGCTATTATTTATAATTTCTTAATCAAATAAAACACATACATCAGAAATTCAAATAAAAAACCCTAAAACAAAAATTGATAATGGGTATCAAACAAAGTAGGTAAGAATGGTGGCCCCATAATACGGGTGGTCATTATCTAGCTGACTAATAAATGAGTGATTTCTTCTTTGTGGGTATTTGACATGGAGCAATCTGATGCAGACTGCAGAGGTCAAATGCAGCCTTGTGTTACATAGAGCGATCAGAATATGAAGCATATGGCATGGCGAGCGCACAACTAAAGAATTCATTTTTTCTACGACAGTATAGTAGCGCAGGCCCCAGGGCTAAAACAAAATCAAGGCATTTGATTTTGTTGTTTCAGCGCAGTGTTAACAAATGTGGTATGGCAACAACTAAGGCCTATTTGAACAAAAACCTCTCTCCCACCAGTGTTATTCATGCTCATATTCAAATTATTTTAGCTGCTATGCAGATATCCTAAATGGGTGCTCATCCTATTAACCCAAGATTGTGTAGTGTAGACTCTTGTTAGTACATTGGTAGCCTCCACCTCCAAAGGAAGTAAAACTGATTTTTTTTTTTTTTGTATTGTATCCTCTTTATATTGAAAGGACAACCATCAGATGACAGAAATTTTCTTTCAAACAAATGGCATCCTATTTTTTTAAAAGGAGTGATTATTTCCACTCTCAAATAGAAGTCTTATACCTCATATGCATGTCTACTAACTCTAAGAAAAAATGAGAGTAATGAAATCCACTCTTAAAAAATGATGACTTCCAACATGTGATTATCTATAAAATAATACCCACTTAAAAAATGTAGGATTCCTGTTAAATCTTTGTAATTTAATTTCTTAATTCAAATAAAAGATTCATTATAAAAACATTATGGTATGGATGCCATTCTTTTAGATGAAATAAGTTGTCAAATACAAATTAAACCTAATTTAATTTTTAAATTAAATAAGGAACTTAAATTAGATACACTTGATGCATATTGAATATCAAACAAAATTATACATGGGTGTACTTGTCCCATTTACACTCCCATAGGTTTACACCAATGCAAATGAAATTCACTGTACAAACAAATTGAGCCTTTGGCTGCATCTGTTTGCAATTCAAATCTGAATCCGATTCAAAATTTGCATTTGATTTTGTTTGGCATCCATTTGTTTATGATTACAATTTGCTCTCTTACCTGATGCAAAATTTGTACATTTTGACTCATTTGCATCTGAAAAAAACAGAAAGTAATGCAAAATTTGCACAACTTCCTCCACCTTTGATAGAAAGTAGGACCACATCATTTGCTTCCGACCTTATTTCCCCCAAATGAATAACCTTCCTTCCGTCTCATTTCTCTTTCATATTTATTGGGGCCACATCATTTTACTTCCTACTTTTACTTATTACAAACAAACAAAACAATGTTAAATGTGAAGCAAAAGTTAACCAGGATTTACACTCAGTCCATTTTCATTCCTATATCAATTTACACAAATAGTGCAAAAGAAATTAGTACTGCAACCAAATAGAGTCATTGGCTCAGTTTAGAAAGAGTACAAATACAAATGCGTAGAGTGTGAGACCTTGTATTTTGTATGTAATTATACTGTACATATTTGTATTTGCACTCTTTCCAAAGTGAACCTTTGGCTGCAATTGTTTGCGATACAAACGCAAAGTGGGTTCTCAGTTTTAACCTGTTTTTGTTC